TCGAAAGCCTGAGACTTTCACAGCTTTGAAGGTACATAATGTTTGCGCGCGCGCGCGCGCACACACACACACACACACACACACACACACACAGTTAGAACATTTACTCAGTGGAACAACCTGCCTCCAGAAGCAGTAAATGCTCCAACACTGGAAGTTTTAAAGAAGAGACTGGACAGCCATTTGTCCAAAATGGTATAGAGTTTCCTGCCTGAGCAGGGGGTTGGACTAGATGACCTTCAAGGTTCCTTCCAACTTTTATTTATTTATTATTGTTGTTGTGTTTGTTATTTTCTCCTTTATTCAGCAGCCAAGAGTGAAAAACAAGCAGGCTAGCTCAGAATGAGCTCTAAACTCTTCTTAATATGAAGGGGAAATAAAAATACGTCAGCAACTCCTCACAATAACAGTGATCTTCCTGCATTGCCATTATAATCCTCTTGCCTCTTTTTTTTTTTTTTACTAAATCACCAAATCTGCCTGATTAAGACTTGTAATATGCGAAAAATAGCTTTTTCCTCACAAAAGCTTGGATATCTATATTTGAGGATTGGTCACAAACACGAGGCAGAAGAACAGGGGCAAGAGTCCGTTAAGGTATCTTGAAAAGCATAATCAACCGACTGAATAAAATGATGGAAATCCTCTCCTGTTTCCATTCCCAATATAGCAGTCCTTTTTTCAGTCTTGGCAACTGTAAGCTGTGTGGACTTCAACTCCCAGAATTCCTTAGTCAGCCACGGTTGCAAAGCATTGCCATACAGATAGCTCCCGACTTAAGGACTGGTTGCTTAGTAAACATGGTAAAAGTTACAATAGACGCCTTCCCCAAAGCTACTTACGACCCAGATTTGAAAATTTCGGTGGCCCCTCCCCACCCTCTTCTGTGGTCACGTGACTGCACTTTGGACGCTCAGCAACCTACCTGCATTTACAGCCATCTGCAGTGTCCTTCATTCACAAGGCTGTGATTTACTACGGTTTTGCAAAAAAAAAAAAAAAAAATTAAAAAATGGGGGGGACATTTACTTCTGCTTTTTTGGCAAAACCAGCCCATAGCAAACATTGGTTCACTTAATGATCTCGATGTTTGGTACTTTAAAAGTCATCTGTTAGAAAGAGTGCAGAGAAGAGCAACAAAGATGATTAGGGGACTGGAGGCTAAAACATATAAAGAACGGTTGCTGGAATTGGGTATGTCTAGTTAATGAAGAGAAGGATGAAGGGTGACATGATAGCAGTGTTCCAATATCTCAGGGGCTGCCACAAAGAAGAGGGAGCCAAGCTATTCTCCAAAGCACCTGAAGACAGGACCAGCAGTAACCAAGGAGAGAAGCAACCTAGAACTAAGGAGAAACTTCCTGACAGTTAGAACAATTAACCAGTGGAACAACCTGCCTCCAGAAGCGGTGAATGCTCCAACACTGGAAGTTTTTAAGAAGAGCCTGGACAGCCATTTGTCTGAAATTTTAGGATATGGCAACATCTGAGTACCACCAGTCGCTTAGCAAGGTGTCAAAAACTTGATGACCCCCCCAAAAAGGAAAAAAGTGATAAAGTACAGGTGTCCTCAACTTACAACAGTTCGCTTAGTGACTGTTCGAAGTTACAATGGCACTGAAAAAAGTGTCCATCGAGGCACAGCCGAACAAGACACCTGCCTGCCCACCCGGCCGCGCTCTTCCTCCTGTCCGAGACTTTCATTGTTGTGAGCATTTCTGTTGAGGATTGGCAGCAGGGGTGGGGTGGGGGGTGTTTGGTTTTTATTCCCCCTGTCTGCTGGGTGGTTGCAACAGGTTTTGGTCACTTCACATGACTCTGGGACACCGTGACCGTCATAAATATGAATTAGTTGCCAACCATCTGAATGTAAATTACAAGACCCTGGAGATGCTGCAACATTCCAGCTGATCGGCGCTTCTTCTGGGCTCAGCAGAAGTACCAGGATCAGTGCTGCTTTCTAGCTGATTGGTACTTCTTCAGGGCTCAGCAGAAGCACCAGGATCAGCACTGAGCTCCAGCTGGAGCTGGGCGCTGATCATGGTGCTTCCGCTGAGCCCTGACAGTCCCGAAGAAGCGCTGATCCTGGTGCTTCCGCTGAGCCCTGACAGCCCTACAGATCCAGCCGTCTCTTGCTCAGGCTTGTGCGGTGCTGCCACCGGTTCAGCTCATTCCCCTCCCCCGCTACCACTTTTCTAGGATGGTTGCATACCACCTGCCAGGTGCCAATATACCACAGGTGGTACCCGTACCACTGGTTGAAAAGCCCTGGTATAGGGTTTCCTGTCTGAGCAGGGGGTTGGACTAGATGACCTCCAAGATCCCTTCTAACTTTATTATTATACATCCATTACAGGTAATCCGTGCGTTTAATGACCATTCAAAGTTTCCACAGCACTGAAAAAAAGTGACTTATGACCCGCTTTCACAGTCATGGCCATTGCTGCATGTCCATGGTCATGTGATCAAAATTTGGGCACTCGGTAATTGCATGTATTTATGGACAGTCGCACTGCCCTGAGGTCCTGGGATCACCAGTTGTATCCTTTCCATCCAGCTTCCGACAATGAGGGAAATCATTTGCTTAATGACCATGTGATTCGCTTAACAACTGCCTTGTTTAGCAACATGAACTTCAGGCTCAATTGTGGTTGTATGTTGTGCTAACTGCTAACTACCATGCCTGCTTAGACAACACGCTAAGCAGAAAGGAGCCAAATGATATTCTGGCTTACTATGAAAACTCAGCCAGTGGTACCTTCCTCTTTAATACAACTCACGGATACCATGTCTCCGTGCATGCGGAGAGTGGTAGTTCTGGGATTCAAGAAGTCTCAATAATTGTGGGCTTAGTTCAGTGGTTCTCAACCTGTGGGTCGGGACCCCATTTGGGGTTGAACGACCATTTCACGGGGGTCGCCAAACAAGGCTGTCCGCCATTTTTCCCCCTTTTCTTTGGCCACGCCCCTGGCACCCAGTGATGAATAAGTGGTTGGGGGTCACCACAACATGGGAAACTGTATTATGGGGTCGCAGCATTAGAAAGGTTGAGAACCACTGCCTTAGTTGCAAGTGAATGGGAGGAAAGAGCGCCCTCTACTGTATGGATTATAACAGGTGGAAGAGAGGTGGACTTGTATCTCTGCAGCTTTTAACTTAACAGAATAACAGAGTTGGAAGAGACCTCGGAGATCTTCTAGCCCAGGGGTGTCAAACTCAATTTCACTGAGGGCCGCATCAGCATTGCGGTTGCCCTCAGGGGGCCAGGTGGGTGTGGCCAGGGTGGGTGCGGCCTACTGGGCGGGCATGGATGGAGTGGGTGTGGCCTACTGGATGGGCTTGGCCAGTTCTACATCGTTTGCGTCAAGGGGGCCTGTGGGGGCCTGGGCAGGAGTAGGACAGATTTGTGGGTCTCTGGCAGAAGGGGATGGGACCGGGGCAAGTGCCAAGGCATGGTCCACCAGGGCAAGTACCAAGATGGCCACCACAAAATTGTATATTGGCTCCCGGCTGGCCTGGGCCAGGGCCAAGGCAGCGGGGGCCGTTCCCTCACTGTTTCCAGGATGGCTTCGCGGGCCACATGAAACCACTTGGCGGGCCACATCCGGCCCCCGGGCCTTGTGTCTGACATGTCTGTTCTAGTCCAACCCCGTGCTCAAGCAGAAGACCCAATATCATTTCAGACAAATAGGTGTCCAGTCTATTTTTGAAAACCTTCAGTGATTGAGCACCCACAACTTTGGAAGGCAGGTTATTCCATTGGTTAATTGCTCTCACCGTTAGGAAATTTCTTCTTGTACATTGCTTCTCTTCTTGGTTAGTTTCCAACCGTTGTTTCTTGTCCTGCCTTCAGGTGCTCAGGAGAATAGGTTGACCCCCTTCTTCTTTGTGGCAGCCCCTCAAATACCAGAGTACTGCTATCATGAAGGACCCCTAGTCCTTCTTTTCACTAGAGCACACATACCCCAATTCCTGCAATCATTCTTCTTATATTTTAGCCTCCAGCTCCCAAATCATCTATGTCAGGGCTTTTCAACCAGTGGTACGGGTACCACATGTGGTACATTGGCACTTGGCAGGTGGTACGCAACCATCCTAGAAAAGTAGCGGGGGAGGGGAATGAGCTGAACCGGTGGCAGCACTGCACAAACCTGAGCGAGAGACAGCTGGAGCTGCAAGGCTGTCAGGGCTCAGCAGAAACGCCAGGATCAGTGCTGCTTTACAGCTGATTGGCGCTTCTTCAGGCCTGTCAAGGCTCAGTGAAAGCGCCAGGATCAGCTCCAGGCTCCAGCTGGAAAGCAGCACTGATCCTGGTGCTTCTGCTGAGCCCAGAAGAAGCGACGATCAGCTGGAATGTTGCAGCATTTCCAAGGTCTTGTGATTTACATTCAGATGCTTGGCAACTGATTCATATTTATGACGGTCACAGTGTCCCGGAGTCATGTGAAGTGACCAAAACCTGCCGCAACCACCCAGCAGACGGGGAGGAATAAAAACCAAACACCACCCCACACCACCCCTGCTACCAATCCTCAACAGAAATGCTCACAACAATGAAAACCTCGGACAGGAGGAAGAGCACCACCGGGCGGGCAGGCAGATGTCTTGCTCGGCTGTTGCTTGGGGGGCACTTTTTTCAGTGCCATTGTAACATCGAACAGTCACTAAGCAAACTGTTGTAAGTTGAGGACTACCTGTACTTCATCACTTTTTTCCTTTTTTTTTTTTTTTTTTTTTTTGGTCATCAAATTTTTGACACCTTGCTAGGCAACTGGTGGTACTCGGATGTTGCTATATCCTAAAAGTGGTACAATGGGTGAAAAGGTTGAAAAGCCCTGATCTATGTTGTTCTTCTCTGCACTTTTTCCAGAGTCACAACATTTTTTTTATATTGTGGCGACCAAAATTGGATGCAGTATTCCACGTGTTGTCTTACTGAGATATTATAAAGCGGTACTAACTTGTTTTTCCATTTCTCCTGCCTTCTCACCCTCGCACAGATTTGCAGCCAAGCTCATTGCGGGTGTGCTGGATTTCAAGGCAAAGATTGATCGGTGAGTAGGTTCCTTTGGATCTTCTGGCCAGGTACAAGGGTGTTCATGGGGATTGAAACCCACTGGGCAAATCTAGAGGACAAATTCTATTTCCAGTGGAAGTTGGAAGAAGAAATGGGTCCTTCTGCCAGGGAAGAACATGGGACCCCCCTCCTTGGAAAACCCTGAACGGGTCAAAGGTAGAATTTTGGGTCCAGAGACAAGACACTGGGTTTCATGACTGTTGCTTCTTCTGGGTGGATGTCATTTTTGTTTCTGTCTGATGGGGTCAAAAGAGTTTTGCTTCCGTTGAGGAGCACCGTAGTTGGGCTGTGCCTAGAGCAGTGGTTCTTAACCTTTTTGAACGAATCGCCCCTTTGAGCCAATGAGGAAGTTGTCATTGCCCCCATCCACAGTAGTAACTGTGAGAGGGACCTCGGAGTCCTAGTGGACAATCACCTAAATATGAGCCAGCAGTGTGCTGCAGCTGCCAAAAAGGCCAACACAGTGCTAGGCTGCATTAACAGAGGGATAGAATCAAGATCACATGAAGTATTAATACCACTTACAATGCCTTGGTAAGGCCACACTTGGAATACTGCATCCAGTTTTGGTCACCACGATGTAAAAAAGATGTTGAGACTCTAGAAAGAGTACAGAGAAGAGCAACAAAGATGATTAGGGGACTGGAGGCTAAAAACATATAAGGAACGGTATAAGAACGGTTAGAATTGGGTATGTCTAGTTTAACGAAGAGAAGGACAAGGGGGGACATGATAGCAGTATTCCAAATCTCAGGGGCTGAAGAGGGAATTGAAGCTATTTTCCAAAGCACCTGAAGGCAGACAAGAAGCAACGGGTGGAAACTAATCAAGGAGAGAAGCAACCTAGACTAAGGAGAACTTCCTGACAGTGAGAGAACAATTAATCAGTGGAACAGCTTGCCTCCAGAAGCAGTAAATGCTCCAACACTGGAAGTTTTTAAGAAGAGACTGGACAGCCACTTGTCCGAAATGGTGTAGGGTTTCCTGCCCGAGCAGGGGGTTGGACTAGATGACCTCCAAGGTCCCTTCCAACTTTACTATTATTAGTATTATTATTATTATCCCCTAACATAACTTTTCAACCACAACATAGGAAATAATTCTTCAATTTATGCAAACACTTTTTTTGTTTTTCTTTCAAATTGTCATCAGGATATATCGATGCAAATAATTTATTTCCAGTCTTTTCCCCATATCTCCCATATTCTGGCCAATGGCGCGCCACTGTATGGGTGGAGGCTGCTGCACAACGCGCATGAAGATAAGCGATGCGTCTTCACATATGTACGGCGTTCTGTACTGAAGCTAGCTGGAGGAACATTTGGAAACACAATTCAATCCACTAATAGCGAGCGATCTGATGTTTTTGTACGACAGATATACAGCCATTCACTGTACGAAAAAGTCTCAAAAGTGTCCCCAAAACTTCTCGCTCCATTGCCCCCATTTCGCCCCCTTTTCGTTCCTTCGCCCCCGTGTCGCCCCTTTTCATTCCATCGCCCCCCTGAAAAACGAAATCGCCCCCTGGGGGGCAATATCGCCCAGGTTAAGAACCACTGGCTTAGAGCATCAGTTGGTGAAGGTGCTAGACTAGAAATGGGGAGATCTGAGTTCTTGTTCCACTCTCTCCGAAGCTCTCTGGGGCACTCATTCATTTATTTTAATTCGAACCAGAATAACAGAGCTAGAAGGGACCTTGGAGGTCTTCCAGTCCAACCCCCTGCTCAAGCAGGAGACTGTACTATGTCAGACAAATGGTTGTCCAATCTCTTTTTAAAACCCTCCAGTGCTGGAGCTCCCATACCTTCTGAAGGCAAGCTGTTCCACTGGTTAATTGTTCTCATGGTTAGGAAGTTTCTCTTTAATTCCAGGTCGCTTCTCTCCTTGATTAGTTTACCTTTAAAGATTACCTTTAAAGCCCTATATGGCTCAGGGCCAGGCTATTTGCGAGACCGCCTACTACCTCATAGTTCCCTTCGTCCGGTTAGATCCCACAGGCTGGGCCTCCTTCAGGTCCCGTCGGCCAAGCAGTGCCATTTGGCGGGGCCGCGGGGGAGGGCTTTCTCTGTGATGGCGCCCATGTCTTGGAACCAGCTCCCCCGGGAGATTAGGACCGCTCCCACCCTGTTGGTTTTCCGCAAGCTGCTTAAGACCTGGCTTTTCCGACAGGCCTGGGGTTTATAAAATCTGACCCCTGGATGAATGTTACTGTATTGTTTGTCTTGTTAAGTTATATTGTGTTTTTATTGTTAGCCGCCCGGAGTCCTGCAGGAGTGGGGCGGTCTATAAATTTTAATAAATAAATAAATAAAATAAATAAATATCCATTGTTTCTTGTGTTGCCTTCAGGTATTTTGGAGAATAGATTGATCCCCTTCTTCTTTGTGGCGGCCCCTAAATATTGGAACACTGCTATCATGTCATCCCTAGTCCTTCTTTTCACTAGACTAGACGTACCCAATTCCTCCCACCGTTCTTCACATGTTTTAGTCTCTAGCTCCCAAATCATCTTTGTTGCTCTTTTCTGCACTCTTTGCACCATCTGTATATAGACTTTGGACTGCTCCATACTTTTCAGCCAATCTCCTTCAAAGGGAGGAAATTGAATTTGAAGGCCTGCCTGAATGAAAGATAGGACAAAGGAAAATCAGAAATCCATATGTAAAGATGCCCACAGCTTTCTTATGGACTGAAACGGAAAGAATGCTGATTTGCTTATCTTTTCCTTTCCATCCCCATGGCAGCCAGACCCTGCTAGTGGAGTATTCCCACAGCCACCCACTCAGCATGGATTGCTATTCTCGCCTCTTTGCCTCTTGCCGACTCCCTGGACGAAAACGTGACTCTATTTTACTGCCTCCACCTGGACGGAAACCCCCAAATTATATTACCGTTGTTCGCAACTTCCAGGTAAATACCTTCATTTTGGCCCAGCCATTGGTCCCTGGATCTGTTGACAGCAGTTCTTGGGGCCTGAATATAAGACCCCATACTTCTCTGCTGCTATATAAAAAAGAGACAAAATACTATTTTAATATTTAAAAATATTAATGTTTTAATATTTAAAAATAAAAGTGTGATGGTATAGTTCAGGTATTGACACATATTTGGAGCCACCCAGATTCTAATCTCCCTTCAACCACAGGAATCCCCTGGATTACTTTGGATCAGTCATGGTCTCTTAATCCACTGTACCCCATAGAATTGTTTGTGGATAACATGGAGAGCAGTTTGGATGCTCCCTTAAGCTCCCGAACAAGGAGTAGTATATAAATCCAATGCATCGGTACAGTATATCATGGATAGAGGATTGGGGGCAATGTGCTAAGGTCCAGGAATGTGAAGTTCCTGTGTGGTCCCCTCTCCTTTCAGAAACCGCTGTGGTAGACGATCTTAGACCAGGGGTAGGCAACCTAGGCTCTTTTATGACTCGTGGACTTCAACTCCCAGAATTCCTGAGCCAGCCATGCTGAGGGGAAAGGGAGAGGTTTCCAAGCTGAGCCATGCTGGCTCAGGAATTCTGGGAGTTGAAGTCCACGAGTCATAAAAGAGCCAAGGTTGCCTATCCCTGCCTTAGACTAAATCCCTCCAAACCTAGCAATTTTAAAATTTGTGGACTTCAACTCCCAGAATTCCTCAGCTAGCCCTGCTGACTGAATTGCTGAGTTGAAAGTCCAGAAGTCTTAAAAGTCGCCAAGTTTGGAGACCTCTGCCTTAGAGGAAGGATACAGGTAGTCCTTGACTTACAATCACAAGAGAGACTGGAAAATTCCTTGTTTAAATGGCACAGACATTAAGCGAGGCATCACATGACAGTACCCAACTTTATGACCTGTTTGCCATTTGCCATTGAGTGAGATATCATGTCACCGTGACTTATGACCTTCCCTGCCTGCTTCCACCTTTGGTTCTGCTTGTCAGAACCAGCTGGGAAAGTTGCAAAGGGTGATCACATGTCTACCTCATTATGACTGTCATAAATGTACATTTGGCAAGCAGCCAAATCATATAATTACATGACTGCAGGGATGATGCGACAATTATAAGCACACGGGCCGGTCATAAGTTGTTTTTTTTTCCAGTTGCTAAATGGATGGTCATAAGTCAAGGACTACCTGTAGCACCACTCGGTGCCTTTTGAGGATAGAGGGTCATGCTAGGTTCTTAGAGCTGCCAGAAGGGTGTGAACCCCCAAACATTTGGGGACTTGCTCAATGAAACCAGAAGTGCACAGCTCCTTGGTGTGAATGGGGTTCCCTTCACTTCTCTGCTTCTTTGTTCCTTTCACAGTTCTTCCGGCTTGAAGTATACAACAGTGACGGGACGCCCCTGACCATTGACCAGCTCTATCTGCAGCTCCTGAAAATCCGCTCTTTTTCTTGGAAGTTGGATAAAGAGCCCTTGGGGGTCCTCACCAGTGACCATCGACATACCTGGGGAGAGGCCTTCACTACTCTCATGAAAGGTGGGAAGCCAGGTTTTGGAAGCTAGAAGGATTAACTAGTTACGGGCCTTTGATCGTGTACAAAGAGGCTGCTCCATGCAGGAATCCAGATTAAAGGATCCATGTTAGATGGCTGTTCATTCTCCATTTTGAGTGAAGGGGAATGTGATGACCCAGGGCACAGCATAGAGGCAATGCAGTCAGCTGGCATTTCAAACCGCCCTTTAATTGCTCCAAATTTTCCCCAAATGCTCCCACATTTCTGGCAAGCCCCAGAACAAGTAAGACACACACACCTTCAGCAGCCTCTGGCTGCAAGTAGTTTCACATATAGTTAGATTAGAAGAGTAATTTACTCAAGGCCACGTAGATAACAAGGAATGAAACATACATCCTGAGCAGTTTCAGAAGAGAAGCCAAAATACAATCCGAGGTCTTTGAACACCCAATCAAATTTGTCAGCCAGTCCAATGGTCAGAGTTTCAGCGTTTTCAAACAGAAATCACAACACAGAACAAGAGATCAGAGAGTTGTTTCCAAGATCAGCAACAGCACACAAAAGTCCAAGGAATCAGCGTTTGTTCCCGACAAAGCCTCTCCCCACAGCGTCTCCTTAAGTCTCAGTCTCCAGGTGTGCCTTGTGGGAAGCTCTCCTCCTGAGTAGTTGAGCCTGCCTGCATTGTTCCCTCCTTCTCTCTCCGTGGCTCTAGGATCAGGAGGGGGTGGCCCTTGCTCATCACCTGAACTCTGTCTCTCATGTTCCTCCTGTCCCAATCCTGAAAGGCCCTGGCCTGCCTCGGCCTGCTCTTCCCCACATTCCTTTGAAGCACAGACACCTCTCCCTCAACCTCCATAGGGTCCTGTTCCAGCTCATTTTCCTCAGCAGATTCAGGCTTCAATGGAGGCATGACAGGGAGCCCTGCTGCTTCTCAAGATCAACTGTCAGACTGCTCCTAAATTTATTTTCGTGCCATTCCACAGAGGGGGATCCAGATGTAAACAAATGGCTTCTTTTAAACCAGTGTTTCTCAACCTTGACAATTTTAAGGCATGTGGACTTCAACTCCCAGAATTCCACAGCCAGCCATGCTGGCTGTGGAATTCTGGGAGTTGAAGTCCACATGCCTTAAAATTGTCAAGGTTGAGAAACACTGGTTTAAATGGTATTTCAAGGGTGCATTTAAAATACCTACTCTACAGCCTTCTTTAACGTGATACAGATAGTCCTCGGCTTAACCGTTCATTTAGTGACAGTTCAGGGTTACAACGGCACTGAAAAAAACTGACTCATGACCATTCTTCACACTTATGACTGCTGTAGCATTCCCGTGGTCACATGGTCAAAATTTGGATACTTGGCCAGCGGTTCATATTTATGACGGTTGCAGTCATCTTTTGCGACCTTTTGACAAGCAAAATCCAGGGGGAAACCAGATTCACTTAACAGCCGGTTCACTAACTTAGCAACTGTAATGATTCACTTAATGACTGTGGCAAAAAAAATGGCAAAAGTCACTTAACAAATGTCTCACTTAGCAACAGAAATTTGGGGTTTAATTGTGGTAAGTCAAGGACTACCTGTACTCTCTAAATCAGTGTTTTTCAACCTTGGCAGCTTTAAGATGTTTGGACTTCAACTCCCAGAATTCCCCAGTTCCCCTTTGGAACTGTAGCTGGCTCTTTAAGATGAGTGGGAAACCATGGCCCTTTTATGACTTGTGGACTTCAACTCCCAGAATTCTTGAGCTCAGGAATTCTGGGAGTTAAAGTCCACAAGTCATAAAAGGGCCATGGTTCCCCACCCCTGCTTTAAGAAATACAATCGGAGCTCAGTGGAAGAGCACCATCTTGGAGATGCCTGACTTAAGCCACATTAAATCCAACTAGGTCCCTGAACAGAAAACAACAATTTCTTTTCATGTTAAAAGTTTTGTTGAACAGATTTTGTGAAAGGGGTTTCCACATCTTTCCAGCCTTCTGATTGCAAGGGGACAAGCAAGTTACCCAACTGTCTTTCAGTACCTGCAAAATTTAGGTTGGTAAAGTGTGTATAGTCAAGGCCATGGTTTTCCCAGTTGCAATGTATGGCTGTGAAAGATGGACCATAAGAAAGGCCGAGCGCCAAAGAATTGAGGACTTTGAACTATGGTGTTGGAGAAGACTCCTGCGAATCCCCTGGACTGCAAGGCGATCAAATCGGTCAATCCTAGAGGAGATCAACCCTGATTGCTCTTTAGAAGGCCAGATCCTGAAGTTGAAACTCAAATACTTTGGCCACCTAATGAAAAGGAAGAACTCACTGGAGCCTAATGCTGGGAAAGATTGAGGGCAATAGAAGAAGGGGACGAAAGAGAATGAGGTGGCTGGATAGAGTCACTGAAGCAGTAGGCGTGAGCTTAAATGGACTCCAGAAGATGGTAGAGGACAGGAAGACCTGGAGGAACATTGTCCATGGGGTCACGGTGGGTCAGACACGACTTTGCAACCCAAAACAACAAATGATATTAGGATAACTATACAGGTAGTCCTCGAGTTATGATCCTAATGAAACTTGCCAATCACAGTCGTAATTCATGACTGTCATAAAACGGGCCAGTCCCATGGCCAATCCAATTTTACAACTTTTTTGTGGCAGTTAAGTGAATCACCATAGTCATTAAGCGAACCAATGATTTGCTATGACGCAGTTTTGCTGAAAAGGGGAAGAAAATGCTGGATTTGGGCAAAAACACTGTAAAATGTGGTCATGTGACGCTGCAAATAGAAATAAATGGGGCTCAGTTGCCAAGTCGCCCAAGTGCAGTCCTGTGACTACAGCTGGTGGGGCTAACCATTGTATCTTTGACTCCAGGTCCATAAATACCCCACAGGAAGGTTCATCAGAACTTCGAACAATTATTAAGCCACCAGTCATAAATCAAGGACTACCTATATTTAAGGAAAGGAAACAGGATTAAATATTTAGGCAAGAAAAAGCAAATGCACAGATGTAGTATTGGGGGTAACTTGCTCAATAGTAGTAACTGTGAGAGGGATCTCAGAGTCCTAGTGGACAATCACTTAAATATGAGCCAGCAGTGTGTTGCAGCTGCCAAAAAAGACAACACAGTGCTAGGCTGCATTAACAGGGAGAGAATCAAGATCACGTGAAGTGTTAATACCACTTTACAATGCCTTGGTAAGGCCACACTTGGAATACTGCATCCAGTTTTGGTCACCACAATGTCCTGTGTTACAACACAACCATGTCAGGAATTAAATCTGGCATTTCTTGTTCCAGATAAGCTGAACCAGGAATCGGCTCTGACGATACAACGTAGCCTCTTCACCGTCTGCCTGGACGCCCCTATCCTGAAGGTGTCCGACACTCACGCCCAAAGCCGTTTGGCAGCTCAAATGCTGCACGGTGGAGGGAGCTATTCCAACAGCGGCAATCGCTGGTTTGACAAGACGCTGCAGGTGAGAATAAAAAGCAGAACATGAATTAGGTTTCCTCAGTTGTACACTAATAAATAAAAGTAAGGTTCTACACTTAAGTAAGAAAAACCAAATGTACAAACTTTTGACTAGGTGAAACTGGGCTTAATGCCAATAACTGTGAGAAGGATCTTGGGTGAGAATCTTCCTTAGGATTATATCCTGGAGATAAGAGCGGTGAAACATAGTGTTTTTTATTTAGACAAGAAAAACCAAATGTACAGGTATAGCATAGGGGGTACCTGGCTCAATAGTAATAACTGTGAGAGGAATCTCGGAGTCCTAGTGGACAATCACTTAAATATGAGCCAGCAGTGTGCTGCAGCTGCCAAAAAGGCCAACACAGTCCTAGGCTGCATCAATAGAGGGACAGAATCAAGATCATGTGAAGTTCTAGTACCGCTTTACAAAGCCTTAGTAAGACCACACTCTGGTCACCACTCTGGTCAAAAAACATGTCGAGACTCTGGAAAGAGTGCGGAGAAGAGCAACAAAACTGATTAGGGAGCTGGAAGCTAAAATGTAGGAAAAACAGTTATAGGAATTGGGTATGTCTAGTCCAGGGGTAGGCAACCTTGGCTCTTTTATGACCCGTGGACTTCGACTCCCAGAATTCCTGAGCCAGATGGCTCAGGAATTCTGGAAGTCGAAGTCCACGAGTCATAAAAGAGCCAAGATTGCCTACCCCTGTTCTAGTCTATTGGAAAGAAGGATTAAGGGGGACCTGATAGCACTATTCCAATATTTGAGGGACTCCTACAAAGACGATGGGGTCGAACTATTTTCTAAAGCACTGTTTCTTGCAGACAAGAAACAATGGTTGGAAACTAACCAAGCAGAGAAGCAACCTATAAATAAGGAAAAATTTCCTAACGGTGAAAGCAATTAACTAATGGAATAATTTGCCTTCAGAGGTTGTGGGTGCTCCATCACTGAAGGCTTTCAAAAACAGGTTGGACACTCATTTGTCTGAAATGATATCAGGTCTCCTGCCTGAGCAGAGGGTTGACTCCGAGGTCCCTTAGCTCTTATTATTCTATGTCCTACCTAGGTAATCAGGCTAGGGGAGGGGTAGGCAACCTTGGCTCTTTTATGACTCGTGGACTTCAACTCCCAGAATTCCTGAGCCAGCCATGCTGAGGGGAAAGGGAGCGGTTTCCAAGCTGAGCCACGCTGGCTCAGGAATTCTGGGAGTTGAAGTCCACGAGTCATAAAAGAGCCAAGATTGCCTACCCCTGGGCTAGGGTAATGAATATTGTGCCATTACATATGAGATTTAAGAAGGAAGCATCTCAAAAAGCTTCCGAGTTTTGGTTACATCATAATCATTTTGATCATTTTTAGAATTGTTTTTTAAAGAGACGGGACAGCTGCAAGCCAAATCCTAGATTAAAATGTAAGCATTTAGATTTTTGATACGAACAGAATAAGGCTAGGCCTGTGTGCTGTGCTGAACTCTTATTTAACAAAGATGATTGGGGGACTGGAGGCTAAAACATATAAGGAACGGTTGCTAGAATTGGGTATGTCTAGTTTAACGAAGAGAAGGACAAGGGGGGACATGATAGCAGTATTCCAATATCTCAGGGGCTGCCATAAAGAAGAGGGAATTAAGCTATTTTCCAAAGCACCTGAAGGCAGGACAAGAAGCAACGGGTGGAAACTCATCAAGGAGAGAAGCAACCTAGAACTAAGGAGAAACTTCCTGACAGTGAGAACAATTAATCAGTGGAACAGCCTGCCTCCAGAAGCAGTAAATGCTCCAACACTGGAAGTTTTTATGAAGAGACTGGACAGCCATTTGTCTGAAATGGTGTAGGGTTTCCTGCCTGAGCAGGGGGTTGGACTAGATGACCTTCAAGGTCCCTTCCAACTTAACTACTATTACTATTACATGCTTTTTTTTAATTTAAGAAAGCTACATGGCTACTAACACACAGTAACTTAGGCTGTATGCAGGCAAAAACTGATAAGCAAGGAATACATTTAAAAATTGTATTTGGGAATATATGTTATTTTATTCTGCTTTTCATAATCCAAAATAAAAAAAGACTTGAGAGAATCCTCTAGCTCAGAGCTCCCCAACCTTATGGCTTAGCAGCCTCATTGGGGGGGGAGGGGAACTGGCCTGTGCAAGCAGTGGGCCGGTGCGGCCTACTTTCAAACTGGCCATGGCCCAATAGTGGGGGACACCTCCTCTAGCTGAAACCAGCTTTTTAATATTATAATCTCGGTGCCTAATAAACCATTTCTGTTTCTTCTTTCCACTCGTTCTTTTTCCCTGGCCTTCAGTTCATTATCGGAGAAGATGGCACCTGTGGGGTCCTTTATGAACAAGCCATTGCTGAGGGGCCACTGATTGCCACCGTCATTGACTACGTTCTTGACTATTGGTAATGTCCTGGTGGGGCATGTGGGGGGGGGTAACCTGATTGGACTCCCGTGGGCAGATTTCAAACTAATGCTACAAAAAGTATTTCTTAAGACTCTAGTCCTCGAGATGCATCTCTGAACTAAATAGCCAGTTACAAGGGAGACCACATTCCCCTCATCAATGCATGGCAGAATGAAACAAGCCACGTTAGGGCTTAGTGCACGGTATGAACCTGGTTAGAGGGATGGTTGTTTTCATATAACACAGAATATATTTTAATTAGGGGTGTGTGTGTGTGTGAGTTTTATTAATCACATTTAAATATATATTTATATTAGTCACAAGGAGCGACTCTGGGCATTGTACAACAATCGGCAGAAGCACATATAAAAACTTTAATCGTTATAAAAATAGAAAAAGTCATTATTAAAAACAAAAACATTAAAAAATTTAAATATAATGCATCTTTTCTCCCTTTCTTCCCTCCCCAGCGTGCAAAGCAGAACCTGGATGTGTGAGTAAGCAGGGCGTGTGCTCCGGGATGGCCTGTTTCGGTAACACACCTTGTCAGTCCCACTGGAGGGGTGGAAAATGCAGGTAGTCCTCGACTTACAAACGGTTCATTTAGTGACCGTTCAAGGTTCCGACAGCACTAAGAGAAGTGATTTAAGACTTTTTCAAACTTATGACCGCTGCAGCATCCCTATGGTCATACGATAAAAATTCAGAAACTTAGTAACTGACTCATATTTATGACGGTCTCAGTGTCCTGGGGCACCTGATCACCTTTTCTGACTTTCTGACAAGCAAAGTCAATGGGGAAGCCAGATTCACTTAACAACCCTGTTAGTAACTTAACAACTGCAGTGATTCACTTAACTGCGGCAAGAAAGGTTGTAAAATGGGGCAAAATTCACTTAAATGTTTCACTTGGCAACAGAAATTTTAGGCTCAGTTATGGTCGTAAGTCATGGTATACCTGATCCCTTTATTTCTTCCTTCTGGAACATTTTATTATTATTATTTGATTGATTATGTGCCATTAAGTCATTGTTGATTCTTATCAGTTATATAGATAAATATTTTTTTTTTCATAATGAACTGCCCCCAGTCAGGTCCTTCAGCTCTTCCTATAGGGCAGTGGTGGCGAAACTTTTAGAGACTGAGTGCCCAAACTGCAACCCAAAACCCACTTATGTATCACCGGCTGCCAGGTGGGCGTGGCCCACTGGGTAGGCGTGGCTGTGGTAGTCATGGCAGACTGGGTGGATTGGCCAAAGTAGGCGTGGTCATCTTGATGTTGCTCGTGGGGAGGGACGCCTGTGGGGGCCGGGCAGGGTTGGGGGAGATCCAGGGGTTCTCTGGCAGGTGGGTCAGTGGGCACAGAGCAAGGTGAGGTAGGGGCCAGGGCAGCTGCTGCCTGACACCATCGGCCCCCACATACAGAGGCCAGTGAGCGCATGGGGGCCGACAGGGTCCATCAGTAGCCACAGCCTGCCGGCCCCTCGAACAGCGCACCCTGGGGCTCTGCAGTCCACCACCAGCAGTTCAGAGAAGCCGCCTCTGAGCTGGATGGCCAGCCAAGAGCTGAGGAGGCCATGCAGTGGGTCGTGCCCGGGAAAAGGAGAGCATGTGAGGTCAGGAGGGATGGGATGGGGGAGGGAGAGAAACCAACCGTGCTGGGATGCATCCGGCCACATGGGACCTTGGTGAGTTAGCGGGCAGCTGGTTGAAGAGGAACAATTGCCATCTCCGGGGCATGGCGTGCGTGCCCACAGAGAGGGTTCTGAGTGCTGCCTCTGGCATGCATGCCCTAGGTTCGCCACCACTGCTATAGTGCCTCCATCGCCACTCTAGAGTCCATCCATCTTGCTGGTCATCCTCTTCTCTTTTCTTCTGCCTTTCCAAACATAGCCTTTGGTTTTTTTTCTAGACAGGTGACCCTATCTCCCAAAAGAGTTAAACACCTAATTTGATGGTGTTTCATTTTGTGGCTGCAGACTTCCCTCTTTGGTTGCTTTTCATTAAAATACTGTAATGTCAAACAAATGTAAAAAGTCTATGGGGCAAGGTGTCAAGACTGATTCACCTAGATCAGTGGTTCTCAACCTGTGGGTCGGGACCCCATTTGGGGTCGAACGACCATTTCACGGGGGTCGCCAAACAATGCAGTCCGCCATTTTTTCCCCCTTTTCCTTAGCTGTGCTACTCCCTTTTATTCTATTGGCTTTTGAAAGCCAATAGAATAGACTCCCTTGAATAAAGTCTAATTCTATTGGCTTTCAAAAGCCAATAGGAATTGTCCAGGCTGTCTCTGCCCTGCTGAGCCCGCCAAAAGTCCGATTCTGCAAACACTGCTGCAGCAGTTGAGTAGTCCTCGACTTAACGACCGGTTGAGTAGTCCTCGACTCACGACCGGTTGGGGGTCGCGGCATTAAAAAGGTTGAGAACCACTGACCTAGATGTTTTGCTCATATCTTGACAATGGAATGCAAAGGTGGGGAGGGATGGTGTCTAGGCAGCCGAAAGCCAAGGCCATGGATGAAGGAGAAGTGGACTGTTCCCATAACAAGAAGAAATATTACTATTGGACAGTGTAAACACCCAGTGGATAGGGAAGTCCCTCGTTTAACTAAGAAAGCCTCCGAGTGAAAACAGCAGAGCTGGTTTTGCTATCTTCTATGCCAGTGTAAACATTCAGTAAAGTATTATACTCTTGGCCAAGTCATATCCCAGGAGTTTCCTTTTCTGGGAATGCCAACTGGACAGTTGACACAGGGAGGATGGTGGGTGGGCAGGCCTTGGGAGAGGATGATGCCATAAGTATCCCATCGAGGCCCGCAGCAGAGGATGGTTTCTCTACATCTGGCACTGCATCTGCAAACATGGCCTGAGCTCTGAGCCTCTCTCTTTCTCTGTTCAGCCTGATCAGTGACCTGGACATCCGCTGTTTCACCTATGACGGCTTTGGAAAGGAGTTCCTCAAAAGCCAAAGCTTGAGTCCTGACTCGGTCGTCCAGGTAGTGCTGCAGTTGGCGTATTACAGGTGAGCTGGCAGGTGCTTGGAGGGATGCTTAGAGAAGTGGGAGGATGAGGGTAGGGTCCGCAACCTTGAAACAGGGTTTTTTTAGATGCAGATGGTTTGCAGGTGGATTTTTGGTTTGTGTGTGTGTGTGTGTGAGAGAGAGAGAGAGGGGGGGCTTTGTGTCCTTTAGAGACGAGCCAAAAGTAAGTTCCTTTTATAGAGGTGCGAACGTTTTGATTGGGAGCCACCCAGAGTTGGTTCAAAGATCAGCAGCTAATAAACATTTTAAATAAAATACATGTAGTCCTCGACTTACCACAACCCATTTAGTGATTTTTCAAAGTTACATTTACAGTGAAAGTGAAAAACTTGACACCTGACTTATTTTCACACTTAACGGCCGTTGCAGCATCCCCCATGATCACGGGGACCAAAATTCGAATGCTTGATAACTGACTCATGCTTACGGCGATTGCAGTGTCCCAAGGGTCACGGGATCACCCTTTGCGACCTCCTGAAGAGCAAAGTCAGTGGGGAAGCCGCTTAACAACTGTGTCACTAACTTAACCATTGTAGGGGTTCACTTGACAGTTGTGGCAGGAAAGGGTCGAAAGATGGAGCAAAACTTGCTTAACAACTGTCTCGCTTAGCGACAGAATTTTGGGGGCTCCATTGTGGTTGTAAGTCAAGGACTACCTGTAAAACCAAACATTACCTAGGAGCGTGGGGCATAAAAAAGATTGGGAACCACTGATGTAAGGAAAGCCACAGGTTGGTGACCAAGCTAGTGATAACTAAATTAAGCAGGAGAGGGATCTGCTTTTGTCCATGTAGGTGTCTGGAGATTCTCAGTCATCCAGGTCATAGTTGTCCCAAAGGTGCTTTTTCACGAGGCAACTGGACTTTTTTTTTTTTCTCTTTGAAGACGTTTCGCTTCTCATCCAAGAAGCTTCTTCTGCTCTGACTGGATGGTGGAGAATGGAAAGATGTATATTCCTCACAGATAGCTGCTTTCTTTTAGAGCAGACATGTCAAACTCACGACGTCACACAATGTATCGGGACGGTTTTGCCATTGCCAGCAATGGGGTTGGGCACAGCTTCCAGATGATGCATTCGGTCTGCGGGCTGGCAGTTTGACACCCCTTTTTTAGAGAGTGTCCTCAGGGGTCAGCTGAGTAGCAAATGGGTGTGGAGCCTTCTTGGAACTGCTGAAAGGACTGTGTTATAGATTGAAGATAGATGACGTCGTATCCCTCCCCCTCTGTTGAGAGAAGTCTGTTCAATTTTGACACAGATGGCCTCTTTGAACCCTCTTTCAAACCAACGGTCCTCTCTGTCCAAAATGTGGACTCTCCAAAATGTGGATGACACAGATAAGCCTCCAGGTGGCATCACCGACTCTCTAAATCAGTGGTTCTCAACCTTTTTAATGCTGCGACCCCCAACCGGTCGTAGGTCGAGGACTACTCAACCGGTCGTAAGTCGAGGACTACTCAACTGGGGCAGCACCGTTTGCAGAATGGGACTTTTGGCGGGCTCAGCAGGGCAGAGACAGCCTGGATAATTCCCATTGGCTTTTGAAAGCCAATAGAATTAGACTCTATTCAAGGGAGTCTATTCTATTGGCTTTCAAAAGCCAATAGAATAAAAGGGAGTAGCACAGCTAAGGAAAAGGGGGGAAAAAATGGCAGACTGCGTTGTTTGGCGACCCCCGTGAAATGGTCGTCCGACCCCAAATGGGGTCCTGACCCACGGGTTGAGAACCACTGCTCTAAAGGAATGCAAATGACCAGCTGTCTGCAAGGAGTATAAATCCTTCCATTCCTCACCATCCAGTCAGAGCTGAGGAAGCTTCTTGGATGAGAAGCGAAATGTCTTCAAAGAGAGAGAGAGAGAGAGAGAGAGAGAAATCCAGTTCCCTCCTGAAAAAGCACTTTTGAGTTGTCTGTGTAGGGTTTCTCACCAACAAGGTATAACTCTGGCAGTACACACAGAGTGTGTATTACAATCGACCTCTTTCCCTCTCCTAGAGCACACGGGCAATTGTGTCCCACCGCAGAGTCAGCCTCGCTTCGTCGCTTCCATCAGGGCCGGTCAGAAATCATACGCTCTGCTACCTCGGCCGTGCTGGCTTTTGCCCAGGCAATGGCTGATGAGAAGTGCCAGGTATTCAGCTTTCCAACTTGGTATCTTTTTTCTTTTTTAAGGTTGTGGTGATAACCCACTTCATCAAGTCCCCCCAGGATCTTGAAGTAGGCTTGCTGAGAGAGAGTGCTTGAGCTCTGCACTCGGTTCTCTTGGTTAGTATTCTATTCCGGAACCATGAACTAAGATGCCTTGTAGTTCTGGTCTGGACAGCATAAACTCAATGACAACAATTTTAAAACAATATTTATTATCAGGAATCCTTAGCAGAGACTTACTTTGCAGAAGATATTGTTCGTTTCCATAGGTAAAGAAATAATGGATTCTTCCATCCTGCGTAAAATTACATGTTGGCATGGAGCTTCTGGCCTGGCGGCCGGGACCCATACAGAGAGAAGATACAATGGCACAAAGCCAGGAAGTACAGTCATAAACTTCGAACTCCTCCCACTTAACTAGATAAGCTATAACATTAACAGCTAAAACTACATTACCCATAAGCCATCTCTTAAGGAAACAGCTTTTAACCCTGTAAATGCTAAACACAATAACACAGTTCTCAAGTATATGCTCTGGCAATATGGTTACATACTGGTCCAGCACATATTCAGTTATCTCTCCAAAAAGAGGTTCATAGTAATTGAGTTAAGTGTCTTGTGCTTCCAATGATAATTCCTAGAAGGATAGAATTGTGGAGCTGGAAGAATCACAGGGATCATCCTGTCCAAGCTTCTGCAACTGCAGGCAAGCTGGTTAAACCATTTTTGAGAAGTGACAACCCAGCTTTTTAAAAAACAACAACAAAAAAAACTTTCAGAGATGGAAAAGCCACAACTCCCCATATGATAACAGAATAACAGAATTGGAAGGGACTTTGGAGGTCTTCTAGTCCAACCCCCTGCTCAAGCAGGAGACCCTATACCAGGATCTGTGAGTCATAAAAGAGCCGAGGTTGCCTACCCCTGCCTTATACCATTTCAGACAAATTGGAGCCAATTGTTTTGGGAGCAGCCTTCAGCTTTTAATCTGCCTTGTTCAAAATGCTTCTTTGGAATGTAAAACTTTGGTTTGCAGCTGTTGGCCATGTTTGTTTCTGGCTGATGGTGTCAAAGAGTTTTGCTTCTGTTGAGGGTCACCATGGTTGAGCTGTGCTTAGGGCAGGGGTAGGCAACCTTGGCTCTTTTTATGACTCGTGGACTTCAACTCCCAGAATTCCTGAGCCAGCCATGCTGAGGGGAAAGGGAGAGGTTTCCAAGGTGAGCCATGCTGGCTCAGGAATTCTGGGAGTTGAAGTCCACGAGTCATAAAAGAGCCAAGGTTGCCTACCCCTGGCTTAGGGCATCAGTTGGTGAAAGTGCTAGACTAAAAGTGAGGAGATCTGGGTTCTCATTCCCCTCTAAACCACAGAAGCTCTCTGGGGGACTCATTCATTTATTTTATTCGAAGCAGAATAACAGAGTTGGAAAGGACCTTGGTGGTCTGGTAGTCCAACCCCCTGCTCAGGCAGGAAACCCTACACCACTCCAGACAAATGGTTGTCCAGTGTCTTCTTAAAAACCACCAGTGTTGAAGCACCCATAATGTCTGGAGGCAAGTCGTTCCACTGATTAATTGTTCTCACTGTCAGGAAATTTCTCCTCAGTTCTAGGTTGGTTCTTGTCCTCATGTGATTGAGTAGAATGAAGGATCGTTCCAGGCAAGGAATGGTACCCCAATTATTGAAAGACAGTCTACCTTGTTCGCTCAGGGTATTTGAGGGCCTTCAGATGCATTTCTGGATTATTTCTTGTGGGGTGGAATTTGGTTCTGCCAATCCTGTTAGTTTCTGTATGTGGAGGGGTCCGTTTTTTTTCTTCAAGAAGTCTTGGCCTTGTTCTGACCTTGGTCATTGGGACAAGTAGGAAAGGCTACTGTTACCTATGAAAATCTCTTTTCCATGCAGCTGAAATTAAGAACACAGGTAATCCTTGACTTAAGACCATAATTCAGTGGTTCTCAACCTGTGGGTCGGGACCCCATTTGGGATCGAATGACCATTTCACGGTGGTCGCCAAACAACGCAATCCGCCATTTTTTTTCCCCCTTTCCTTAGTGTGCTACTCCCTTTTATTCTATTAGCTTTTGAAAGCCGATAGAATAGACTCTCTTGAATAGAGTCTAATTCTATTGGCTTTCAAAAGCCAATAGGAATTGTCCAGGCTGTCTCTGCCCTGAGCCCGCCAAAAGTCCCATTCTGCAAACGGTGCTGCACCAGTTGAGTAGTCCTCAACTTACAACCAGTTGAGTAATCCTCGACTTACGACTGGTTGGGGGTCGCGGCATTAAAAAGGTTGAGAACCACTGCCATAATTGAACCCAGAATTAGGGTTATAAGTCATGCTGGTTGTTAATTGGGTCACCATGTGATTGTGTTTGTTTTTATGAACTTCTTTGTGATCATTAAATAAATGCAGCAGTTGTTAAGTGAACACAGAAGTCATTAAGCAAATCTGTTGTCTGAAAAGGTTGGGGTTTTTTGCCGGAAACCAGAACTAAACAACCTTTTCTGGCAAAAAAAAAAAAAAGAATGTTGTAAATCACGGTTCCATGATTACAGGATGCTGTAAATGGCCATAAATGTGGATTGGTTGTTCAGTGCCCAAAATGTGATCACATTATGTGACCGCAGGGTGGTGGTGGTGGCGGCAGCCATCAGAACTTTGAATTTTGATCATAACTCGCCCTGGAGACGTTCATCATAACGGTCGTTAAACCGGCCATAAGTCAAGGACTACCCCTACTCATGTCAACAATTAGATTTCTCTAAACACAGGTAGTCCTCCACTTACAACAGTTCATTTAGTGACCATTCAAAGTTACAATGGCACTGAAAAAAAGTGGCTTATGACCATTTTTAACATGTAGGACTGGTTCATATTTAGGACTGTTGCTGCAGGTCACGTGTCACCTTTTGTGATCATCTGACAAGCAAAGTCGATGGGGGGAACCAGATTCACATAACAACCGGTTACTAACTTATCAGCTCCAGTGATTCAGTTAACAACTGCGGCAGGAAATGGGGCAGAACTCAGTTGACAAACGTCTCACTTAGCAACAGAAATGTCGGCCTCCATTGTGGTCATAAGGTGAGGACTACCTGCATGTTAGCAGTGAGACTTTTAATATGTATGGTTTGAACGTTTTTGTGTCTTCTGGTATCTAAAATCCACGTCTCTTTTTCTTTCACTAGGCCCCTGAAAGATTATCTCTCCTGAAAGAAGCAGCTGAGTTCCACAGCACCCTCACGGAGCAGGTAACTATCTCCCTGTAGCGTGGTTTGGTAGGAATATATATATAGGCTAACTTGAAGACATTAAGACATTAACTTGAAGACATATATATATATATATATATTTAATGTCTTCAAGTTAGCCTTAAAAGTTGCCAACGTTTTTCTTGCCAACATTTTCAAAAATGGTTTGCCATTGCTGGCTTCTTACAGACGAGAAAAAGTGACTGGCCTGAAGTCAACCAGTTGGTTTCACACATAAGGTTTCCCTCTCTGGGTTTTTTTACCCTTCTAGTTGTAACCGACTTTAGGGACGGTGCTCATCTCTGTTTCTGAAGCCAAAGGGGCAGCACTGTCCGAAGGCATTTCCACGGTCATGTGGCTAGCATAACATCAGACTGCGGCACAAAACTTATGGCAAAACAAGAAGTGCTGTTACTTTCCCATGTGCTTATATATGTGGTACCTATTCATCTACTCGCATATGCACACTTTCGAACTGCTAGGCTGGCAGGAGCTGGGACAAGTGATGGGAGCTCACTCTGTCTCGCAGCACTCAGGTCTTGAACTGCCAAGCTATAGATCTTTAACAGTCTAAGACAGTGATGGCGAACTTTTAGAGACCGAATGCCCAAAAACTGGCCCCGCCCCTGCTCCACCCCCCCTGCCCTGCTGCCGTTCTGCCCCCCCATCCCCTGTCCCACCTGCCCACAGGACCATTCACCGCCTCCAAGGGCCGCCGCATATCGCCCAGGCAGCCTAGCAGCGCTATGTCAGCCACATCCTCTGCCCACGCCCTGCAGCATCAACTGCATGATGGGTTGTGAGGACAGAGTTTTGTCTATGCTGCCTGGCTGCCATGTCCTTGGCTGCGCTGCTCCACGTGGGCCACGCTCGGAGGCGACTCTCCTTCAGGGGGGCTACTGGAGAGGAGGGGGTTGTGGGGGGAGGCGAGGCTGGGGCAACGGCACGTGTGCCCACAGAGAGGGCACCGAGTGCCGCCTCTGGCACCCGTGCCATAGGTTCGCCACCACTGGTCTAAGACTCGGTGTCCTAACTGCAGAGCCACCTCGTCCCTTATTTCAGGGGTCCCCGGTCCGTGGACCAGTACCGGGCTGCAGCATGCCAGCAACCCGGCCACACAAACAAGCAAAGCCCCATCCGCGAGATTCAGGCAGCACATAAAACCACACACTCTCTGGCTGTGGAAAAACCTCTCTCCACAGAACCGATCCCTGGTGCCCGAAAGGTTGGGGACCTCTGCCTTATTTCATGCATAAGCCAAGACTAGAATTTAAAGTTTCCCCATTTTTAGCCCAACACCTTTAACCACCACACAATCCCGGCTCACCGATATGAATTGCTGGCTCTCAAATCTTCAGAGTTGGCCCTGTTCTACAGAAATAATTTTGGAATGTCACCTTCTTTAGCAGTATTTTTGGCAAGGAAAATGGAACAAACAATGGGAGTTTTATTTATTTATTAATGAAATAGTTATTTACTAGTTTAGAGCAGTGTTTCCCAACTTTTTGCAATGGTGAGACATGGATTTCAACTTCCAAAATTCCCTAGACAGCTATGTTGGCTAGAGGATTCTGGGAGTTGAAATCCTTAAATCTTAAAGTTGCCAAGTTTGTAGACCACTAATTTAGTGTGTTGAGCAAATGAGTTCAAACCACTTTCCAGTGATAGCTGATTTTCTGTAATGTCTTGCAGGCTCTGGATGGGCAAGGCATCGACTGCCATTTGCTTGGGCTGAAAATGGAGGCCATAGCGGATGGTTTCCATGTGCCCGAGCTTTTTATGGATATTTCCTATACCATGGCTTCGTACTGGAAACTCTCCACAGGACAGGTACAGATAGCCAGCTCCAAATTTGTACTTCTTTGCTATATCCCTGTAGTACTCGGGTATATGATATTCTCCGTACAGGTAATCCCTGTTTAGTGACTGTCTCGGATAGCAATCATTGGCAAATACAGTGATAATAAATGCTAATAAAAGATTCATTTTCCTACAACAAAAGCCAGTGTGAAACTGATTGAGGTCTGGTCAGTTTCAGGCAGAAGTTGTGAGACAAGGCTGCTGAGAAAAACAGCTCAGGAAGAGATTCCTTGCTTAGGCCAGGAGATTGGAATTTGATTTGAATGAGATGGCAGCAACCAAGGATCTTTGTGCATTTCTCTCTCTGTGTGTTTGTGTGTCACATCTTCACTTAGCAACTATTTTACTTAATGATTGAGTCATCGGAACCAATTGCAGTCACTAAACGAGGACTATCATTTATTTATTTATATCCTACCTTTATTATTTTTGCAAATAACTCAAGGCAGCAAAAATATTCAATACACCTCCTTCCTCCTATGTTCCCCACTCTTCCTGCTCTAAATTTTTGCACCAAAATGTGTTCTTCATAAGCATCATAATGTTGTTCTTGTTTTGTATTCCCATAGGATCTCTGTGACCATTTTACCTCTTAGCACTATGGATACACAGAACAGGACCTTTTCGGTGATGGCACCTTGACTGTGCCTTATCCTTCCCCCAGGGACCTGCAACATGATTTTTCCCCTTTCCCTTCAAGAAACTTAGCAAGTTCTTTCCCCTCTTCCCATTCTCTTCCCTTGAGAGAATTGTGCTGGGAAAGGAAGATGATTTTGGAGTTCATCTGAATGTAGTTCCTACCTCCAGTAGCTTTTTAAAAAAAAAATCCCAGCCAAGAACACAGTCATAGCAATAGCATTTAGGCTTATGTACCACCCCATAGTGCTTTACAGAACTCTCTGGGTGTTTTACAATGTAAGCATTATTTGCATATTGTCCCCAACAATCTGGGTCCTCATTTTACCAACCTCAGAAGGATGGAAGGCTGAGTCAACCTTGAGCCAGTCAGGATCGAACCGCTGGCCGTGGGCAGAGTTAGCCTGCAATACTGCATTCTAACCACTGCGCCACCAGGGGTCTTGTATTCAGATGTTTTTGGGGGGTTTTTTTTGATCCCAGTTTCTTTTGTCTTTCAGGTCGCTTCCCGCACGGACTGCCTCATGTGTTACGGGCCCCTCGTGCCTGACGGCTACGCTGTTTGCTACAACCCTTTGCCTTCCCATATTAATTTTGCTATCACTGCTTTCAACTGCTGTGAGGAAACCAATGCCACTTACTTTGCCAAAAACATCCAGGACGCCCTGGCTGATGTGAGGGCCTTGTTGGGGAACTTTGGAGAGGGCCAGCCTGAAAGACTTTGAAAAATATTTTGAACTTCACTTCAGACTTCCAACATGACCGAAGGCATCTCTCTAGTTTGGCCAACAGATGACCCTATCTTTGAGAAATCCCCAATCTCTTCCTTGCCTTTCCTTTGGGCCAAAATTTGGGATGCAGCATCTTCCAGCATTCCTAATCCGTAATGTCCTTTGCCAGCCCTAGCAGGATTTGTGGGAAAATGGCTGTCTTGATATAAATATATACATATATATACATCTTCTAAATGCAAGATCAGGTCTAATTTATTTCCAGAATAAAGAAATTCAAAACACAAATGCCACAGGAAAACTCCTGACTTAATTTCTTTTTTAGATCAGTGACTTTTTTTTAAAAAAAAAAAAATGACTGAGATGCTGGTCCATTCCAACTGGCATTTATACTGTAGTGAAGTATGATTAATAATAATAATAATAAAGTTGGAAGGGACCTTGGAGGTCATCTAGTCCAACCCCCTGCTCAGGCAGGAAACCCTATACCAGAGGTAGGCAACCTTGGCTCTTTTATGACTCGTGGATTTCAACTCCCAGAATTCCTGAGCCAACATGGCTGGCTCAGGAATTCTGGGAGTTGAAGTCCACGAGTCATAAAAGAGCCAAGGTTGCCTACCCCTGTCCTATACCATTACAGACAAATGGCTGTCCAGTCTCTCATTAAAAACTTCCAGTGTTGAAGCATTCACAGCTTCTGGTGGCAGGTTGTTCCACTGATTAATTGTTCTGTCAGGAAATTTCTCCTTAGTTCTAGATTCTGATTCATGATTACATTGTACCTTACATCTGTGATTCCCAACCTTTTGGGCACCAGGAACTGGCTCTTGAGAAAAAAAATTCCATGGATTGTGGGGCATGTGTGGTTTTGCACGCTACCTAGATCCCCTGTGTTACATGCTTTTCCCCAGGTGTTCTCAAAGGTTTGTGATAGGAAGACCTGAAACAATGAATTGATTTCTGGGTCTTCCACCCCTTAAAAGAAATTGCTTTCATTGGGATGAAGTTTGACAAGAAACAAAGGCATCACAGTTCATCTCTAATCTGTATATAAAAGGGATCCTTAAAACTTTGCAGGATTACAATGGGATGATGTGAGGAGCAATGCCTGAAGTGGCTTGTGGCATCTTCCATTCTGTCAATGTAGCTCTGCTTTAAAAAAAAAAAAAAAAAGTCGATCATATTGTCAAGTTTCTAATCAGGATTGCAAGATCCCAGAAGAAAGATTTCCATTCACATTTCATTTTATTTCAGATTTAATGCTGGGAAAATCAATGGTGGTAAAGGGGTGGGTGTGTGATCGATTGCAGAAAACCGAAGAAGGAAAACTCCAGCTGTCATTCATTAGCAAATTCATTAAAGTGGGATGTCTGTGCATTACTTGAATTTCTTCCTGCAAGATTGCTTAACTCAGTGCTTTCCTAAACTTTTCCCTTCATTATCCAAAAGCACTTATCAGAAAACTTTATCAGACTTGGAGGACCGGTCCAAAGTCCTTTCAGCACTGTCATATCTTCAAACAGTCGCTGAATGAATGGTTGAAACGCGAGGACCATCTATATCGGGTAGGCAGCCTTGGCTCTTTTATGACTTGTGGACTTCAACTCCCAGAATTCCTGAGACAGCCATGCTGAGGGGAAAGGGAGGGGTTTCCAAGCTGAGCCATGCTAGCTCAGGAATTCTGGGAGTTGAAGTCCACGAGTCATAAAAGAGCCAAGGTTGCCTACCCCTGATCTATATTGTAATATACAGAACAATATCACTGAGTGATCTTCTTGTCATTTCAATTACCATTGGTAAGTTCATGGATTTTCCCCTTAAGAGGAATACTTTAGTATTTTCAAATACAGGTAGTTCTCAACTTACAACCACAACTGAACCCAAAATTTCTGTTAATTGAAACATCTGTTTAGTGGATTTTGCCCCATTTCACAACTTTTCTTGCATCGGTTGTTAAGTGAATCCCTGCAGTTGATAAGTTGTTAAGTGAATCTGGCTTTGCTTGTCAGAAGGTCGCAAAGAGGGATCACCTGACTTTGGGATACCACAAAGGTCATGAATATGAACAGATCTGAATTTTGATCATGTGACCATGGGGATGCTACAACGGTCGTAAGTGAAAAATGGTCACAAGCCAATTTTTTCACTGTCATTATAACTCTGATCACTAAATGAACTGTTGTAAATCAAGGACCACCTGTATACATGTGTACATATATACAAAATATACTGAATGACAATCTTTAAACGTCCCCGTTGTGATTGGGTAATGGGTTTGTGTGTCGTTACCCAAAGAAAAATCCATTTTTATCCAAGTTAAGAGTAATGTATCCTACTTTGGGAAGCATTGGCTTAATTGAAAAGCAATTGGCTTTTTTATCAGACAAAACATCCATTTGTTCTTCATTTGCTCTATTTTGAAGCACTCTTTTTCTCTTATATTTTCTCTTGCACCTCCCTTATAAATAATTTGGGGTTCCGAGTGGGATCTTGATTTTCAGTTTGAGATGATGAAAAAAGTAAGGTTCTACATTTAGGCAAGAAAAACCAAATGTACAGGTATAATATAGGGGGTCCCTTGCTCAATAGTAGTAACTGTGAGAGGGATCTCAGAGTCCTAGTGGACAATCACTTAAATATGAGCCAGCAGTGTGCTGCAGCTGCCAAAAAGGCCAACACAGTGCTGGGCTGCATTAACAGAGGGATAGAATCAAGATCACGTGAAGTATTAATACCACTTTACAATGCCTTGGTAAGGCCACACTTGGAATACTGCATCCAGTTTTGGTCACCACGATGTAAAAAAGATGCTGAGACTCTAGAAAGAGTACAGAGAAGAGCAGCAAAGATGATTAGGGGACTGGAGACTAAAGCATATAAAGAATGGTTGCTGGAATTGGGTATGTCGAGTTTAATGAACAGAAGGACGAGGGGGGACATGATATAGCAGTGTTCCAATATCTCAGGGGCTGCCACAAAGAAGAGGGAGTCAAGCTATTCTCCAAGGTGCCTGAAGGCAGGACAAGAAGCAACGGATGGAAACTGATCAAGGAGAGAAGCAACTTAGAACTAAGGAGAAACTTCCTGACAGAACAATTAACCAATGGAACAACCTGCCTCCAGAAGCGGTGAATGCTCCAACACGAGGTTTTTAAGAAGAGACTGGACAGCCATTTGTCTGAAATGGTGTAGGGTTCCTGCCTGAGCAGGGGGTTGGATTCGATGACCTCCAAGGTCCCTTCCAACTTTATTATTATTATTATTATTATCGATCATCGCACAGTCAGCCAGATGTTCAGACTGGATTTGGCATTTTGTCTACCTATCGAGTCCTTACCCAGGACCTGTGATAGGCAGATGTGGATGTTTGATGGTATTACAGATATCGTCGCAGGATGGAAGCAGTTCCTAGTAAGGCTGCCTTTTGCAATTGACTAATAGCAAATTTGTCAATGCCAATGGTGTTCAAGTGGTGCTCCAGTTGTTTTGGGATTGCACCCAAGGCTGCTGCTATTATTATTATTATCATCATCATCATCATCATCATCTCCTAGACCAGGGGTAGGCCACCTTGGCTCTTTTATGACTTCAACTTCAATTCTGCCCTTGTCCTAGACTAAATGGTAGAAATGCCCATGGAACCATCAACAGAGATGTGGTGCAGTGGTTACAATGCAGTATTGCAGGCAAACTCTGCCTGCTGCCAGGAGTTCAATCCTGACTGGCTCAACGTTGACTCAGCCTTCCATCCTTCCAAGGTGGGTAAAATGAGGACCCAGATTGCTGGGGGCAAACTGCTTAGAGAAGGCTGTAAAGCAGTGGCCCCCAACCTTTTGGGTACCAGGGACCGGTTTTGTGAACAGTGGTTTTTCTGCAGACCTGAGGGGACATGGTTTCATGTGCTGCTTGCATCCCATGGATGGGGCTTCACTTGTTTGCGTGACCCGCTTTCTGGCCTGTCACGGCCCGGTGCCGGTCCACAGACCAGTGATTAGGGACCCCTGCTGTAAAGCACTATAAAGCGGTATATAAGTCTAAGTGCTATTTCTATCCGGGACGTGGGGGTGTAGTTCTGACCCTCACGGGATGGCAATTAGGAGCTGGGTTATAATAATATCCTGTCCTGTGTCTGATGTAAATTATGACTTGGCAAAGCTTTTCCCTATTGGACCTTGTTGTTTGAAATTCTGCAAGATTTCAGCATTCACATCTGAAGGAGAAAGAAGGCTCCAGTGAGGGCAAAGAAATTGCATGAGATTTAGCAAGGTTGAGAGAATTTGAATGATTTAAAATGTTTTTTTCCCCCAATTTTTTATTACAGAAATGCACAGGCACCATCCTGGGATATCTGAAAGGAACTGGCCTGTGTCGTTCCTGTTTTCTGCTCTGATAAACAGAGCCTTGGTTCAATTTAGGGCTTCTTCTTTCTAAGGTGTTTGTCCTGAGATTTTCTGCTGTGTTTCTTAGAAGAAAGAGAGAGAGAGAGAAACAAGCAATCCTAGACTAACCCAAAACTCTTGAAGAGATGTTGAGCCTGTCTCTTTTGCTGGGAAAACTTGCTGGAATTGAGATACTGATAGATGTAGAATCAGATTTTTTTTTTTTTTGTGTGTGTGTGTGTGTGTGTGTGTGTGTGTGTGTGTGTGTTCAAGTCAATCTTGATTCTTGGCAATTTCATGGAGAGGTTCATGCCGTTTCCTTGGTAACATTGCATAAGTAGTTTGCCTTTCTTTTCTTCTATATATATTTACTTCTTAGATTAGAACTGAGAGTTGGTGAATGCCCAGAGTCCCCCAGCTGACTCCCATGGCTAAACGGTCAGTCTCACTGCTCTTAGGCCATCAGATTCGCAAATATATATAATAGCAACAACATTTAAACTTATATGCCACTCCACAGTGCTTTACAGCCCTCTCTAAGCAGTTTACAAAGTCAGCACATTGCCCCCCAACATCCCTGGTTCTCATTTTACCCACCTCGGAAGGATGGAAGGCTGAGTCAACCTTGAGCCGGTCAGTATCGAACTCCTGGCATTTGGCAAGTTAGCCTGCAATACTGCATTCTAACCACTGCGCCACCAAGGCTCTTGAGCCGTAATTCTGGATTTATGACCATTTAACGATTGTTCAAAGTTAAGACAGGCTTTCAACTGGTCCTCACATGATGGTTGTAGCATCCCTGCAGTCACATGATCAAAATTTCAGGCACTTGGCAACTGGTATGTATTCATGATGGCTGCATTCTCCTGGGCTCAGATTATTGCCATTTTAACCTTCTGTGCTGCCCCT